GGGCCACGTGCCCACACCGTCCATCCTGGGTCTGTCACTAGCTTGAGGTACACAACACTGTCCCTGAGGAAGCTGCACTTCCTCGGGACCTGTTTCCTCATCAGTAAAATTAGGGTACAGGACCAGGTGGCTTCGAGAGCCCCTGGGACACCTTGCCGCCTGCCCCAGCTGCCGCTCACTAGCAGGACCCAGGAAAGGAGAAAGTGCATCAGTGGGGGCGGGAGAGGGGATAGGGAGGTGACAGTCCATGAGAGAGGCTGGCAGAGACAGCGAACACTGCCCAGGTGCCAGAGGGGTGGCAGCAGCTGGCGCAGGGCCCACCGGCTGCAGAGCCATGGATGCCCTCTGCCCACAGCTGAGCCTGGGCGCCCAGCGGCCATGGCAGCGTGGATGAAGGGATGGACAGTGACACTGGCAGTGATGGCACTGTCCCCAACCTTCACACCTATGTCAGCCTTGTGAGCCAAAGCCCCCAAGAAAGTCCCCAAGACGGCTATAGCAAGGAAGCCAAATGCCAGCTGCTGGGTGGGCTCTGGGACTGCTGGGCTGGGCGGAGCCTCTAAGCCCTCTGTGGGGTGGGTACAGGACCACCCTGTCTGCCTGGGAGGCTTCACGGCAATGCAGCATGGCTGGGACAGACCTCAGTCTTTCCCTGTACAGCACATCTCCCTGTCCCTGGAGACACCTGGCAGGGCTGGAGGTTCAAACCCAAGTCTAGATGTTTACAGATGTGCAGCCCCACTGGTGCCCAAATTATGCACAGTGAAGGTGCCCAGGACCCCAGCCACCACGCCCACCTGGCCTCATCACACACAGCACTTTCCAACTTGCTGGTCCCAAAGCCCACCGTTCAGGGACAGGGACCCAGCACCCCACTGGGCAAGACCCAGCTCCTCAGTCTCAGCTCCTTTTCAGAAAGCTGCTGTCACTGTCACCTCAACCTGAGCTCTCTACCCTGAAGGCCTTCCCATTCCCAGAGCCAGGTTCCCATGGCAAGTTGGAAGGGGCTGGGTTTCTGAGGGGACAAAGGGAAGGACAGGGAGAGGGAAGGTGGCCGGTAAACGTGATCATCCTCGGGAAGTTCTGGAGCGGGGGCGGGCCAGGCTCTGCTCCCCACCAGGACTTCAACTGCCACCATGGCACTGGCTGCCTGCCTGCTGTGCTCCCCAGGTAGGTGCCAAAGGGCCTTGGCCCCTTGGCCCACACCTGTGCTTCCTGGAGACGAGGTCTCGCTGGAAATGAGGCTGGGTCCCCATGAGACTGGATGTCCCAGGGGTGGAGGCCGGGACTCAGGCACTGGACCAGCTGCCCCAGGACGCAAGAGCCAGTCCTCCCGTGGCAGGAACAGCACCTCCTCATTCTGCTGCGGGGCTGGCACTAGGGAGTGGAGAGGGTTTGGTGAGGGCACCTGAACAGCCATCAGAGGGAGCAGTGAACCTCTGGAAACAGGGTGAGCCCATCCCAAACCCAGGACCCAAGGGCTCAGTCCAGGAAGGGAAGGGAAGGGAGGGCCCAAGAGGCTGGTGGGAGCTGGCACTAGGCCACTGGGGACCCTGGCTTCAGCCGCAAGAGTGCTGGGATGGCTGCCGAGCTGACCTGTTTCTGGGGGAAAGCGGTGCCTGAGGGGCAGCCACCACCAGATCGCCCTGGGGCCATTGCCCCCCACCAGCCTCCTGGCCCAGGCCCTCCACTCCCCAGCTTGCTCCTCTCAAACTCCCAAGGCCTCAGCATCAGGTCTCCTCCCTGCTCTAGAGGCTTCTGGCTCCCCTACCACAAACAAGGAGTCGATTCCGAAGGTCACTGAGCGGGTGGGTGAGAGGGTGGGGTCTCAGTGTCCCCACCACAAAGAGGGTGCGTGTATGAGGCAGCGTGTGAGGGAACAGCTCCCTGGGGCCTTCCCACCCTGCGGGCCATTTCAGAACATCGTGGTGGACCTGACCAATGCGTATTGGGGTTGTTTGTTAATAAAAAAATAAAATAATACAGCTTTAAAAAATATATGGTCCAGGCTGGGGATTTAGCTCAGTGGCACCGCACCTGCCTTGTAAATGCAAGGTCCTTCCTGAGTTCAATCCCTGGTACAAAAAATATATATATAGATATATATTTTATATATATATCTATATATATTTTTATATATTTTATATATATATATATAAAATATATATATATGCATCCCCCCGCCCAGCCTAGGGACATGGCCTGGCCTGGCCTGCATCCCCTCCAGAGAGGCTTCCCATAATAGCTGTGGCCTCGTGTGGTCGCATGGCATGGCAAGCTCAGTCCCTGGGGCAGGGGTCTCAGGCAGGGCTTGGAGACAAGCTGGTGAGAAGGGACAAGGCTCCACAGGGATGAGGGAGGGGAGATTAGCCCCTCACCGCCTTGGCCTGTCCTCTGCCCTTGCCACGGTCCCCAGCATCCTTTGTGGCTGATTGGGACCCCATGAGAGAGGCACACTCGGTGCTGGCCAGCCAGAGTAGAGACCCCACCCTGGTGGCCCTGCGATGGACAGGCACCGGGAGGTCCTTTCCCTGTGGGGTGGCTGGGCTTTACCCTCACTGGGTTTCTCAGCCTCACCAGGTGCCTCAGTGCTCAGGGTGGGATCATCCTCTGTCACACCTGTAGGGGGCGCTGTCTGAGCATTGCAGGACATTTAGCAGCACTTGGGGTGTCCACCGCCCAGCTATGACAACCAAACTATCTCTACACCTGGCGGAGTCCCCAGGGCAGCATGGCCAGGGTGAGGATCTGCCTCGACTCCTCCGGGGACTGCTGTCCTCCCAGCTGAGATCGGAGTAAGGGCGACTGGCAGCTCCTGCTAGGGGTGGGGATAAAAGAGAAACCCCAGACCCCACCCTCCTGGGGGACCTCACCCCTTTCCTGTGAGAGGGGCGATAGTGTGTCCCCACACCCTCCTCATCTTCAGACAGAAAAATAATACACACACACACACACACACACACACACACACACACACACCCCTTAACCACCTCCTCAGAGTCAGAGGGAGCCTCCTCTATCATTCACACTTTTTCCTTTCTACTTTTTTGAGATAAAGTCTCACTAAGTTGCCCAGGATGGCTTCAAACTTGAGGTCCTCCAGCCTCAGCCTCCCAAGTGCTGGGATCACAGATGTGCACCACCATGCCTGGCCTCTCTACTGCTTCTAAGAGAACCCCAGAGGGCATGGGTTGGAAGAGGGAGGGTCTGAGGAGAGCGGAGGGGGAGGAGGAGGGGAGAACTCCCAGACTCTGGCTGCTCCCCAGTTCCTGCCCCACTCCTCGTCCCCCCAGAACCAGGAACTCCTGGAGGGACCCTTGGGGCAGTGGGAAGTCTCAGAGCAGGGAAGGGCACAGTCCTTCCCTGCAGGAACTCAGGCCTCTCCCACCCAACCTGCAACCTCTGTCCCAGCCCGTGGCACTGCACCAGAGTAGGGTGGCTGGGAGGGTCCAAGTGCCCATCCAGAACCAAAGCCCATAAAGCCAGGGCTCTCCTGGGAACACAGGGACCCTGGCGATGCCAGGGCGAGGAGTGTTTATCAGTAAGCCCGTGATGGACAGGGGTGTGTATGTGGCCCCAGTAGTTGCTCAATAAATACTCAAAGACCGCCAGGGCAGACAAACTTGCGTCTTTGTCACTATGCAGCACAGCCAGCCCTCAAATGCTGCCAACTGTGACCATTTTCCTAAGTAGGGGCTCTTACAGCCTGAGAGATTCGTTCTGGCTCCTCAGTGAGGCTCCGGATGGGGTCCTCAGTCCTTCATCCATGTGATTGATTGATTGATTATTTATTTATTTATTTATTTTTAAGAAACAGGGTCTTATCCAGGAATGGTGGCGCATGCCTATAATCCCAGCACTCAGAAGGCTGAGGCACGGGCCGGGGATTTAGCTCAGTGGTTTCGACGACTGCTTTGCAAACGCAAAGACCCGAGTTCGATCCCCAGTACCAAAAAAAAGGAAGGCTGAGACAAGAGGATTGCGAATTCAAGGCCAGCCTGGACCTTGTCTCAAAAAAGCCAAACAAACAAACAAAAACCAGAAAAGAAGAGAAACTATGTTGCCCAGGCTACCTTTGAATTCCTAGGCTTGAGTAATCCTCCTGCCTCAGTTTCCTGCATAGAGGGGACTACAGATATGCACCTCTGCATGTGCCTTCTAACGTGATTCTTGAACCCACCAAACCCAGAGGGACCCCAGAGAGTCTTTGGGGCTGTCACAGTGAGCTTTGCTCCTCCCCACGCCAGCTCTGGCTACCTCAGGCTGATCTGCATACCTTTGGTCCCCAAGTCTAGGCAGGTGTGGGGAGCCTGATGTCAAGGGCTGTTCCTGAGGGTCTGGGGGTCAAGGAGGAGCCGCACCCCATCTACAGTATCAGTACAGGGCCTCTTCCCATGGGAGAAAGAAAGAACCACTCCCGCCTCCCTTCGAGAGCTGCCGGGAACAGCACTGGAAACATTCACTAAGCACCTACTGTGTGCTCAACATAGCAGCAAACAAAAACTCCTCCCTTCCTGAGCTTTCACTTTCTTCCCCTCTACTCCTGGGGATTGAACCCAGGGCCTTCGAAATGGGCTATGTCCCCAGGCCTTTTTAATTATTGAGTCAGGGTCCTGCTAAGTCACTTAAATTGCCCAGCTGGGCTTGAACTTGTAACTTTCCTGCCTCAGCCTCCCAACTAGCTGGGATGACAATCATGAGCCATGGCACCTAGCCATATTTTACTCTTTGAGAAACTTCTGTACTGTTCTCCAAGGTGGGGGCACCATTTTATTCCCACTGGCCAAGTCCACGGACTCTGATTTCTCCATGACCTTCCCAACACTCATTAGTATTTTCCTTTTCATGACAGCCTAAGTGGGCATGAAGGGGTTTCTCCTTGTGTTCTTAATTTGCCTTTTCCTGATAAGGAATGCTGTGAGCTTTTTTCCCAGTGATGATTACTGGTCATTTGTGTGTCTTCTGAAAAAGGTGTAAGTTCAAAAAAAACCACAAAGATGTGAGTTCCATTTGTAAGTAAGGCACCTGTCTTTTATTACCAAGCAGAGCCTTCTGTTACCCGAATGGTGGCTTCCATAAACCAGAGCTGGCTCAAGGCCAAGGGGATGGGCCAGCACCACAACGCCTGCAGCTTTGGGGGCCAGAGCTTCCAGGAGCTGCAGGAGGCCTACTTGAAGGCGGAGGAGCTGTTTGAGGATCCCCTGTTCCCCACGGAGCCTTGCTCTCTCCGCTTCAAGGATCTCGGCCCCAACTACAAACACACGCAGGAAATCTGCTGGCTGCGGCCCAAGGTGGGCACCAGGCGGGGGGATGGAGGGGGGAGGCACCTGGGGATCATGGCCTCTGCCCCCTGGGACCCAGGCCCCAGGCTCCCCCTCTGTCCCCTCCAGCCTGCCAGGGTCAGATCCGAGCCTGCTCAGCTCAGTGTCCCTCTGAGCTTGTCCCCACCATGCTTTGCTGTCACAGATGAGTTGTGTCCAGCAGGTCTGAGTCCCCTCTTATCTGCTCTCCTGGACAGGCAAGGAAAGTGGGGGGTGCCCAGCCCCCGTCACCCTTGTCCTCCTGCCCCCACAGGAGAGCACATGCAACCCCCAGTTCATTGTGGATGGGCTCAGCCCCACGGACATCCGCCAGGGCGGCGTGGGTGAGTAGCAACCCCAGGGGACCCTGGGTTCAGACACCCCGCTCTGCTTCCCTGTCCCTGTCCTGCACGTCCCCTGCTGCAGCCTGGGTTTGGAATAGACTGGGGGTGACATGTTAGTTACCCATTGCTGCATAGTAAATCACCCACAACTTGAGGATTCAAAAACTCTGACCCTGACCCAGGGCCTTGCACATGCTAGACAAGCGCTCCGCTACTGAGCTATGTCTGCAGACATTTGACAGGGTCTCTGGCAGTGCCAGGCTGGCCTGAAACTTGTGACTCTCCTGCTTCAGCCTCCCACAGAGGTGTGATTACAGGTGTGCACTAATGAGCATGGCAACAAGTATTTCTTACCTCAGAGCTTCTCTGGGTCAGGAAGTCAGAAGCAGCATGGCCAGGTGGGTCCAGCTCAAGGCCTGTCCTGAGGTTGCCCACTGTGTTGCATCCTCAGAGGGTGTCCCCAGGCCAGGACTGTCCACAGGGCTGCTGAGTGTCCACACAGCAGAGTGTCTGCCCCCACCAAAGTGAGTGACCCCAGAGAAGACAGGGCAGCAGGGAGCCACAGCCTCTTGTGACCTGGTCCAGGGAGTCACACATCCCCTTGCTCTGTCCGTGAGAAGCCAGCCCTGAACCTGGCCCTGCCTTGAGGGGACAGAAAGTGGGCACCACCTTCCGAGGGGGTGGGCACAGATGTGTGGACACATTTTCACTCCACTGCCGGGGCCAGAACCTTCCCAGTCCAGGCATTGAGTAAGGGGCACTGGGGTCCCACATGCAAGGCTGACCCCAGAAGGCAAGTGGCAGTGGGGACTCATGGTGCTGGGGACAGGAGGGGTCCCTTGATCTCCTATAAGATGTGATGTGAGGACCAGACCTCCTGGGCCCTTTGTCACCACATCAGGCTGCCAGGTCGGGATGGGGGTTGGGGGGAAGGGGCTGGGTTTGTGCATGAGACAGAGTGGATTTCCTCCCACAGAGAGCAGGTCCTAGAGTGGAGTGGGGTGCAGGCCAATTCCTCCCACAAGATCCCCTCATCCGGGCTCTAACAGAGCAGGCAGGGCTGAGCTCACCCCAAGCCCCTCCCTGTCCCCTGCACTCCTGGGAGCTGAGGGGATCACTCAAGCCCTGCTGGCCCAGCAAGGGACTGTTGGCTGCTAGCTGCCATGGCCTCCCTGACCACGTGCCCCAGGCTGCTGTCCCGAGTGGTGCCCGGAGGCCAGAGCTTTCAGAAGAACTACGCTGGTATCTTCCATTTCCAGGTGACGCATAGTGGGGGAAGGGGGAGAGGGAGAGAGGGAGAGAGAGAGAGAGAGGAGTCATGTGTGCTTTTGTTTTCTTTTTTAAAAATAACATTGATAAAGCCAAGTACGGTGGTGCATGCCTGTAATTCCACTGCTCTGAGAGGTGACTTCGCCTATCAGAGAAATATCTGTTCCGAAAAAAACTATGTAAGCTAATTTTGGGGGGTTTTTTGGTACCGGGGATTGAACTCTGGACCTTGCACTTGCAAGGCAGGTGGCAGAACCACTGAGCTAAATCCCCAGCCCCAATGTAAGCTAATTTTTAAGCCCCAAAAGAAAATAATGATGAGCTGTGTCTTTCCTTCTCTCCCTCTCATTATTTGCATGGGTGTGCCCACGACTGTCTGCATGTGTGACACTGGCAGTCTCCATCCTGTCATTTTTGTGGTGTCCTTTAACTTAGCAACACGTGGACCCTTCTGTGTATTATAGATGTTTCCTAGAACAGGAGCCCTTAAGCCCCTGAGCCGTGACCTCCAGCTGTGAGTTCTCAGAGCAGGGCCTGGACAGGACCTGGAGGAGCCCAGCTGGGGTCAGGGACCCCAGTGCTGCAGAGTGGGATCCATGTGTTACTAGCCCTGGCCGCCAGGGGGCGCGGCATGACAGGGTCCCAGCGTGCACATGTGTTTGCCTTGTGACAAGTCTGTCCATGCTTGCGAACTTGTACGTGTGTGTGTGCACCTGCATGTTTGCCTGTGTGTGCACCTGTGTCCCGCTGATCCCCTCTCCGCTGCAGATCTGACAGTTCGGGCGCTGGCTGGATGTGGTGGTGGATGACCGTCTGCCCAGCAGGGCCAACCGGCTGCTCTTCGTGCACTCGCAGCAGTGCGAGGAGTTCTGGAGCGCCCTGCTGGAGAAGGCCTACGCCAAGTAAGCCGGGCCGCGCGGAGGCGGGATCGGGGATGACCAGGCACCCCTCCTTTCCCACTCCCACCCCTACCCAGCGCCCCACCGTGCCTTCTGTGCCCACAGGCTGAGTGGGTCCTATGAGGGACTGGCAGGGGGCAGCACCGCCGAAGGCCTGGAGGACTTCACCGGCGGCATGGCGCTGACCTTCCAGCTCCAGAGCCCCCCACCCACCCTGCCAAGGCTGCTGCCCCGGGCCCTGCAACACTGCTCTCTCATGGGCTGCTCCATGGAGGTAAGCCACGCCCAGCTCAGGGCCTTTGCACCTGCTGCTGTTCTACCCTAAGGGCTCCTGCACAGCTCTGGCTCTCCTCTCCAGGTTCCAGCTCAGCTGTCCCCTCTGAATCACTTTCTACCTGGCTTCAACTCTCTCCCTTACGTCATGGAGACGGTTCATCTACACATCTCCCCATGGCCGTCTTCCCTCCAGCCTTATTTGTGTCGCTCAGTGCCTTGCCCTGGAGCTTTGGGCAGGGTCTAGCATGTGATAGGCACCCAGCAAAGACTTATGCAAAGGAATGAGTGAAGCCATCATGGAGCCCTAGGATCAGCAGTCATGTTCTAGGTCATTGGTCACTTGCGTCTATGCAAAGCCTGTGGTCAGATTCTACAGCACACCGTGTGGGCACCCCACAGTGGGGAAGGGGTGAAAAATGGCTGGTTTACATGCCGTGAAATATTACTCAGCGGTGAAAAGGAACAGACTCAGACAAATGGGCAGCAGAACAGTGATGGTCAAGGGAAGGAAGGGAAGGGAGAGGGAAGATGTGAGTTTGGGTTACAAAAGGACAGCACAAAGGGCACTTATGTTCCTGACTGTGGGACTGTGACACAGAACTACACGTGTGGAAACATTGCACATAACACACACAAATCATTACTAGTGAAACTGGGATCTGGGTAAGGTCGAGGAGTTGCATCAGTGTCGACATCCTGGTCTGACCCCACCCAACAGTTTTGCAAGACATCGCTGGGGGGGAACTGGCTAAGGAGCACATGGGCTCACTCTATCTTGTTTTATTTTATTTTTATCACTATTTTTTGAGACAAGGTCTTGCTATGTATTTTAAGATGGGCTTGAACTCACTATGCAGCCCAGGCTGGCCTCAAACCTGTGATCCTCCTGCCTCAGCCTCCTGAGTGCTGGGATCCCAGGTGTGCGCCACCATGCCCAGCTGTATTATTGCTTATAACCGAGTGCAAATCTGCAATCACTCCAAAATATAGAGTGTACCTTAAAAAGAAAGACACCAGGAGTTCTCCCCTCCTTGGGGTGCCCGGTGCAGACCATGCCTGTCCTCTTCCTTTGCCCTGCAGGTCACCAGCGACAGTGAGCCGGAGTCGGTAATGCCCAGCTTGCTGGTGAGGGGCCACGCGTACTCAGTGACTGGCCTGGTGGATGTGAGTCCTGGCCGCAGCCCACCCGAGGGTCAGGAGAGGGACGGGGACCCTGCAGTGGCCCTGACCAGTCCATCTCCCCCAGGTCCTCTACAGGGGCAGGATGGAGACGCTGCTGCGGCTCCTCAACCCCTGGGGCCACATTGAATGGAATGGAGCCTGGAGCGACAAGTAGGCATCCCACAAGGTGCCTGAGGGTTCCCCGGGGGCCCAGGCACTGCCTGGGGCCGACAGCATCCAAGGGGAGATGGTGTCCCTGCGCACCCTCCCAGCCCTGCCTCCCGCAGCTCTGCAGAGTGGGGCGAAGTAGACCCCAAGGTCCAGATGCAGCTGCTGCGCAAGAAAGAGGATGGTGAATTCTGGTCAGTGTGGCTGGGGCCACCCAACCCCTTACCTCGTCCCTGTCTCCCTGCCATGATGGTGGTTGGAGAAGCTCGGGGACCCTGGGCATGGGCGTGTGCAGTGTGCCCTCCTCCCCGCCACAGGATGTCCTACCAAGACTTCCTGTGCCACTTCTCCCTCCTGGAGGTCTGCAACCTTACACCTGATGCCCGGGCGGGGGTCCAAGAGGCGCTGGCACATCACCTTCTACGAGGGCAGCTGGCGGAGGGGCAGCACTGCGGGGGGCTGCAGGAACAACCTCAGTGGGTCAAGGACGAGGGTGGGAGGCTTGGGGTACCTGAAGCCGAGTGTCCATCGGACCCCTGTGTGCCCAGCCCAGCCCCACGCCCTGACCCCCGACGACCTCCCTACAGACACATTCTGGACCAACCCCCAGTTCAGAGTCTCACTCTTGGTGGGCGACGACCCCGAGGACGACCTGGAGGATGACACGGTCGTCTGCACCTGCCTGGTGGCTCTGATGCAGAAGAACTGGAGGCTTGGCCAGCCGCAGGGGCCACGCTGCTGACCATCGGCTTCGTCATCTTCCCGGTGGGCACCCTGTGCGTCCCCTGCCCCCTCACCTGGCCGCATGCTCCAACCCTCTCCCGGCCTGCGGCCAGCCCAGGCTCCTGGAGGCTGCAGTTTCCTTTCCTTCCATCACCACACCTAGCCAGCATTCCCTCTGTGACACGTGTTGTCCCAGAGCCTCGTCGTACAGATGCCCTTAAGGAAGAGGAAGGGGTTTGGGGGCCAGAGAGGCCGGGTCACAGCCACGCTCACATCCACAGGTCAAGGCGGGCCCCTGTCCTATTCCCAGATCCTGGGCAGAGCTGTGATCTCCGTGTCCCCTGCCTCCACCACCTCCCCAGCGGCCCTCACTCCAGGAACCCAGTGAAATCCTGACAGACTTCCAGGACCCATGGTGCTCTGCAACCCCCAGAAACAGCCACTCGGTCTCCCACATCTAGCTACATCGAGTATTTATGGAGCACCTACTGTATTCGAGGTCCCTCTCCAGTCCCAGGCTCAACACAGCAGACCCAAGCCCTGAGCTCCAGGGCTGCGCCTGCAGGGTTCACCGATCCAAGAGGACTCTGATGCACAGTCCCAGCCAGGTCCACGTCTGCTGTCGTAACTGAGTGCCACAGGAGTTAGGAGGGGAAAAAAGGCTCCTTTGGCCCATCATTCTGGAAATCGAAGAGCATGGCACTTCTGTCTGCCTGGCACCTGCCTCCTACTGGGCATCCCCGGCACAGGGCATCACCTGGCCAGGCAGAGGAAGCTGCTAGCTTAGGTCCTTCTTCCTGGGTTGGTTTTTTTTTTTTTTTTCAATTTTTTGAGACAGGATCTCATTCTATAGCCCAGGCTGGCATTGAACTCCAAGGTGATCCTCCTACCTCAGCCTCCCAGAGTGCTGGAATTACAAGCGTGCGCCCTAATACCCAGATTTTTAACTTGATCATTTACAAACTCACTTGGAGCTGGGCACAATCTCACATACCTGTAGTCCCCACCGTTTCGGAAGTGGATGCCGGGGGAGCGATTGAACCCACAAGTTCAGGACCAGCCTAGGCAACACTGTGAGACCTTTTCACAAAAAACAAACACATGGACTTGTTTGTCCTTGGTCCTTCATTTCAATTATCTCCTGTCCACTTCCTGAAGGAAATGAGTGTTCCCTGGAATAGGGTCCCGGAAAAACCCATTAGATTTTCTCTCCCAGCTCTTTCACTTCTAGCAGTGTGGGGTCAGCAGGTCACCTCACTTCTTGGGCACTGAGCTTCCTGCCCTTAGCCTGGGGCGATAAAGATCTACAAGCTCTGTGTAAACAGAGCTTTGCTGTCTGCAGCAGCAGCTCCTTGATGCTATCAAACCCAGGTCCCACCCAACACCATTGTCCCAGTGCCTGGAACACACCCCGACACTCACGCGCACCCACTGTGCACGCCCCTGGTCCCGCGCCCTGGAGGTCTGACCCCCTCTCTCTTGTCCCCCAGGTCCCCAAGGAGGTACAGGAGACCAGGACCCAGGGCTTCCTCCTAGACTTAGCTCATCCCAACTTTGTGTGGATGGTCAAGGATGGGATTGGCCTGGAGCTCAGGGAGCACTGGCTTGGGAGTCCAGCGCCCTGGGGCCCTGCTGGAGCTGGAGGAGGAGGGGACCGAACTGGGGGTGCCTGTCCCATGGGCGGGGTTCAGGCCAGCCAGCTGCTCCCCGAGGGCCTGTCCCGGGCCTGTGCCCACTCCGGGGCCCACAGTTTCAGAGTCTTCAGCATGGCCACCTGAGAAAAGACTTCTTCGAGATGTACCCGGACCTGGGCTTTGCTGAGATCTTCGCCAAAGCGCAGGAAGTGCACAACGAGCTGCAGCTAGCACCCGGCGAGTACATCATTGTCTCCTCCATCTTCGAGCCTCAGCAGGACGCCGACTTCCTGCTGCGGGTCTTCACAGAGAAGCACAGTGAGTCCTGGTGAGGACCACAGGGTCCCCTGCCCCACAGCTGCCAGGTGCCATGCTCAGGGAGCTCCCACCTGCTCCTCCTCCTGGGGGCCCCTACTTTACACTCGGAGAACCTCAGACCTGAGGAGGAGAGATCCCTGTTAGGAGTAGCACCCAGATCCCAGAGCTTTTCCACCTTGCTCAAGAGGTGTCACACAGCCCCTAGGACCACCCCTCAGCTTCCCCTCTTCCCCAGCCCTTGTAACCAGAAGCCTTTGTCCTTTTTGCTCAGGGAAATGGACGAAGTCAACTATGCTGAGCATCTCCAGGAGGTGAGGGGACACCTGGCCAGGGCTGGAGGGACTCGGGGGCCGTGCACAGGATCTGGACCCTGTACCCTCCTGCCCCGCCCTGCCCCAGGAGACCATCTCTGAGCAAGACCTGGACCAGGACCTCCTCAGTGTATTTGACATGGTGGCCAATGAGGTGAGAAGGGCCCGGGTTGGGATTGCAGAGAGATGGCTGCCTGGGGAGAAAGGATGGTGACAGGGGTCCCCTTCCTAGGACAAGGAAATACACGTGCACGGGCTCCAGACTCTGCTTAGGAGGTTGGGCTGCCAGACGTGAGTCTCTGACCCGCCCACAGCCCACCCCCAGCATGTTGCCCCATCTCAACCCACACCCCCTTCCTTCCGAGTCTTTTTCCCACCACTTCCCTCCCTCACAGTGAGTAACGTCAAGACCAGGGGCTTGGGCCTGGACACCTGTCGCCGTATGATCAACCTCATGGACGTATCTTCCTGTGCGTGGCCAGGCCTGTCCTGTGCCTCCGGTCCCCAGGCCTGACCCATAGGCAGCCACCTCTCTGGCCAGCCTTCCCCACCTTTGGGACGGGGATGAAACTCCAGGATAGCAAGAGATGCCAGTTCTAGCTGGGGACAATGGGCCACACCTGTACTCCTATCACTCTGGGAGGCCGAGGCAGGAGGATCAAAAGTTTCAGTCCAGCCTGGGCAAGTTAGCAAGACCCTGTCTCAAAATAAGAAAATTAAAAGGCCCAGGGGTGCAGCTCAGAACAAAGGCTCTGGGTTTAATCCCTGGTACTATGAGAAAAAAAAAAGATGCCAGTCCTCTTGGCTGGGGAACTGGAGTCTGTACCCTGTGATGAGCCACTCAGTTTCCTCCCCCAGGGTGCCCTCTTCACAGCCCGTCCCTACGATCCTTGACTGACCCCCAGAAAGACAGCTCGGGCAAGCTGGGGCTTCAGGAGTTCCAGATCCTGTGGAAAGAGATCAACAAATGGGCGGTAAAGGGGATTGAGGGGGTAGCTGGTCTATGGGGACCAGAGAGGGTGGCCCTCCATGGGGAGGGGACATGCAAGGATGAAACAGGGACAGGAGCCCTGGAGTAAACACATGAGTGTGCACACACAGGCACGTGCACAGCAGAAGAGGGTCTGCAGGGGGCTGCTGCATTGTTCATCAAGATGCTCAATAAACGGCACAGCCAGGTCTGAGGGTCACGATCACAGTGCCAGCGGGAAACACCAGGCATCAGCGGCCCCCGCTGTGCTTGGCATAAGCCTTTCTGTCCCCGGATAATCAGGAGCTCAGGAGTTAGGGTCTCAGCACTGGTACTGGGAACCCAGTGTTTCATGATCCCAACCCTACACCATGCACACGGCCACCCCACACTCAGGACATCTTCCGAGAGTGCGACCGAGACCATTCAGGCACCCTGAACTCCTACGAGATACACCTGGCAGTGGAGAGGGCCGGTGGCTGGGGCAGGCAGGGCTGCGGGGTGCAGGGGGGCCACGTCCAGAGGCCCACACTGTCCCCTTCCCACCCCTCAATCCCAGGCATTAAGTTGAACAATGAGGTGGTGGAGGTGCTGGCGGCTCGATATGCAGACGACAACCTGACCCTGGACTTGGACAACTTCCTCTGCTGTTTCCTGAGGCTCAAGGCTGTGTTCAGTGAGTGGGGCACCAGCCTAGCCCCTACCCCGGCCCTGGGGAGCCACAGGAGCCACACAACCCACCTTTTGTTGGGCTGTAACTGTCCGGGGCCTCCATCCCCCTGGATCAAATGCGAGTGGCAGTGGGAGTGGCCCCCAGGACTGAGGAGTGGAGCAGAGCACTGCGCCCTGGGCTGGGAGCCCCAACTGGTTCCAGGCGAGATGAGCTGTACTGGGGGTGCATGCGGGCTGGATCTGGGGGTGAGAGCAGCAGGACTGCCGTGTCTAACCCTTCCGACCTGGGAGTGGGCCCTGCAGACCTGGACTCCGCTCTCAGCCCGTGCCCGGCTGCCTCTCTAACACAGCCTTTGTTCTAACCATGGACCCCAAGAACACCGGCTAGATCCGCTTAAACCTGGAGCAGGTGTGTGGGGATGCCAGGAGGGGTGTCCGGGTCTCCCCCCAGGCTACTGCTGTTGCCCACCTGCCCCTGCCACCCCACCCTTCAGCCTGCTCTTGTCTCCACAGTGGCTGCAGATAACTCTGTGAGGGGAGCCAGCTCCCCCTGCCTGCAGGGTCTGAGGGCCAGGTGCTCGGTGCCACCCTAGGGCCAGGTCCCTGCAGAGGGCATGGGCTCCACATGCCAAAGTTACTCCATGCCTGCCCTCCCAGCTCAAATCCCCCTCTCCCCACCCCTGCCAGGCTTCTAGTGCCTGGGTCGGCCCCACGGGCTTGAGCTCTTTCTGAATCTGTTTTACTAAAAATTAAGTGACACTTCCCCAGCATCCCCTGTCCACACCCACCTGCGCCTGGCACTCACCCCCTCACCTGTGGACAGTACTGTAATAAATGCCGCCTGCCACCCATTCCCCAGTTCTGTGTCTCCATGCTATGAAAAGACAAGAGCAAAGAGGGGGGTCCCGTCGCTCTCAGAGGAAGGGGATAGCACCTCACCTCCAGGAGCATTAAGAAATGCATGCTTGAAGCCAGGAGCGGTGGCACACGCCTGTAATCCCAACATTCTGGGAAGCCCAGGCAGGAGGGTCACAAGTTGGAGCCTAGCCTAGGCAACTTAGTGACTTAGTGACACACTATCTCAAAATGAAATAATTTTTATAAAGGGTTGAAAGCCCTTTGTTCAGTACTGAAAGAAGAGAGAGGTGGAAGATGAACAAGAAGAGAGGAGGGGGGAGGGAAGGATGGAGGCAGGCAGGCAGGCAGGCAGGCAGGCAGGAGAGCTTGGTCCGATGATTAGAAGCGCTATTGGTGCTTGTGGGCAGTGCCAGGCAGCTAAGGGCACCACCGGTCCCTGGGGTGGAAATGGTGCAGGGCATGGTGTGCAGTGGGCTGGGTTGGGTGGGGCAGGGAGGCCAGACCAGCTGCCCACAGAACCTGCACTGCAGCTGCCAGTTAGGGACCGCAGCCCCTGAACCCAGCTGTGATCTCTGGCCTGACTCTGGTGTCCCTGAAGGTGGCATCCCAGGGCCTCAAAAAACAAAGTCCTGACACCCGCAGCCGCCCACGGGCTCTGTGCCCAGAAAGGACCCCAGTGAAGATGCAGCCCCGTAGTGGCTCAGCACTACTTTACAGGTGTCAGATCCAAACCATTGCCACCGTCCATGGGAACTGGGCCTGGAAAACTGTCACCAGGGGCCCGGCCACCTACACCTATCTGGCTGACCGCCATCGAGAGTAAGAAAAATTAAGAAAAAGCTGAGGAAAGGGAAGAATGAGCTTATTCACATTTGGCCAAACCCAGAGGGCAGCTAGTGCCCCACCTGCCCTGCACAGAGGGGCATTTATCCCAGGAGGGACAGGACCGAGGGGCCAGCAAATGCCAGGCCCAGAAACACGCCAGAGTTTGGCCATGGGGACCCATCCTCAGCGCCAAGGCTGGGGGTGGCCCTTGTCCCTCTCAGGGAGGAAGATGGGCCACTAGCTTAGCTTTAAAATGTAAGTGTTAAACTCCACTTCTGCTTCTTGGTTTCCCATCTGTGTGAAACTCCCTCCCTCTCTCTCTCTCTCTCTCTCTCTCTCTCTCTCTCTCTCTCTCTCTCTCTCTCAAAAACTCAGGGCTAGGCCCTCAGGAACCATATTGAAATATGCGACTTCATTTTATTTATTTATGTTTTATTTGCTGTTTGGGGATGTGCCTTGCACATTCTAGGCAAGCGCTCTACCCTGAGCTGCATGTATCCTGGCCCCTCAAACTCATCAAAATCCTTCCTGCCTCAGTTTCCTCCCACAGTGCTACCCACCATGGTGCTAACTAGCTTGCCCCTGCATGCTGAGAGGGCAGCTGGGACTCAGGTCCTCTGGGGCCTGCCACCAATGACTCGCTGCCAGCCTAGCACACCTCCTGCGTGACTTCAAAGACCCAAGCTAGGCAACCTGGGGAGAGGGCTGCCCCCGAAGCCTGTCCAGGAACTGTTTCCTGACCTGCTGCTCCTCTCCCAGCTGACAGATTGCACTCTAAAGAACCTCTTAGCAGGCGGATGCCTCTCCCTCAGCTTCCTTCCCACAGGGCTAGCAAAGGTCCCTGGGGGCCAGGGGATATCAGGAAGCAGCACTGCAGGGAGATTCTATCCTCAAGCCTTGGCCTTGCTCCTCCTCGGAGGGTGACATCGCTAATGTCAAGCCAGGATGCAAGGGAAGCAGACACCCCACTCCGGAGGCCACTTCTTTCTTTAACATTTTTTAAAATATATTTTTGTTTTTAATCCACACCCAGTAAGTGCACATAGTTCTGGGGTTCAGTGTGATATTTCTTTTTTTTTTTTTTTTTTGGTACCAGGGATCGAACTCGGGTCCATGTACTTGCACAGCAGGCGGGGAAACCACTGAGCTAAATCCCCGGCCCCAGTGTGATATTTCAACACACATATGCAATGGGTAGTGTTCTGATCCAGGTCAGTGGCAGATCTGTGTCCTTGGCCCATTTAGCATTTCCGTGTGCTGGGAACATCCAAAATCCTGTGCTTCCAAACCCAGGGAGTTCAGAGCCATATCTCAGCCCTTTAAGAATAAAAGCAAGCCAGGCACGGTGACACATGCCTGAGGCAGGAGGATCATGGCAAGGCCACCCTGGGTTACACAGCAAGACCCTGTCTTGAAGAAGTAAGCAAACAACAACAACAACAAAAATCTTATTTGTTTGTTTATGGTAGCATGAGACTGAACTCAGAGTCTCCAGGATGCTAGGCGAGCTCTCTGCACTGAGCTATAGCCCCAACCTTTTTTGTACTGGGGATTAAACCCAGAGCTTTCTTATTGAGCTACATCCCTTTGCGGGGGGGAGGTGTTTTTGTTTTTTTGAGACAGGGTCTCACTATGCGGTTCAGGCTGGTCTTGATCTCACCATGTAACCCAGGCTGGCCTTGAACTCTCAACGATCCTCCTGACTCAGCCTCCTGAGTGCTATCCTCAGCCTTTTTAAAATTGTATTTTTTACTTTGAGACAGAGTCTGTAAGGCTCTAAGTCACTAAGTCACTCAATTGCCTAGGCTGGACTTGAACTTTTTTGTTTTGTTTTGTTTTTTTGAGACAGGGTCTCACTATGTAGTCCAGACTGGCCTCGAACTTGCAGCAATTCTCCTGCCTCAGCCTCCTAAAGTGCTGGTATTCCAAGTGTGCAGCACCATACCTGGCTTGTTTTTTGTTTTCAGACAGGGTCTCACTAAATTGCCCAGCCTGACTGTAACCGTGATCTTCCTTTGAGTTTCTCAAGTATCTGGGATCACAGTGTGTGCCTTGGGGCCCAGCTGGTTTGAAAGATTCAATTAATTCTTATCAGCCAGGACAATCAATTCTGGTTGGAAATAAAACTGAAATGACTCATGGACAGCGTAGCATAGACGCCCAGGCAGGTTCACTGAACTTGGGGGTAGTCTGGGGCAAGATGCTTTCTCCCTGGTCCCACCTGTCAGTCAGGGGAAGCCAGGCCTGTCATAGAGGGCAGGGATAGCTGAGGTGGTGAGAGTGAAGCCAGGCTGGGCATGGTGGCCTAGGCCTGTAATCCCAGCACTCTGAAGGCTGAGGAAGGAGGATTGCCAAGCGTTCGGGGCCAGCCTGGACTATGTAGCTAGACCCCGCCTCAAAAAAAAAACGAAGAAAGAAAAAGTTGGAAACATTTGGGCCCATGGTGTTTACCCTTTCAGAATTATTTATACTAATAAAAGTGGCGTTATACAGAGTAGAACACCCAGTCATTGAGCCGCATAGCACAAAAACCAAGAGACTTATTATGAAGTTAAATAAAAAGGTGTCTATAAAACCTAGAACACCCCTTTCCAAGAGAATCCTCACTGGCACTGAATACATGAGCGACAGTGGCAAACGGTGTTATCAAAGTAGCTGGGTGTGGTGGCACAGGCCTATCTGAAGCAGGACAATCTTGAGCTCAAGGTCATCCCTGGCTACGCAGTGAAATTTAGTGTGGGCCAGCCTGAACTACACAGCCGGACTCTGTCTCAAAACAACGTGGAAATGGTATGGCAATTGAGGCGCTGTTTCTCTAGCCCCTTCCATGCCCCGCCCCCAGTGGACTTCCTGCCTGTGGGCAGCCTAACTGCCATGAAGGCCACTACGCCGTGTCCCGTGGTCCCCAAGGCTCTGTGAGCACAAGCAGGCAGCCTGTCTCTGCCCCTGGGCAAGAGCACTGATGCCATCTGACTCCCTTGAGCACACAGGCCCCATGGCAAGCTTGACTGCATCTCCTGCCAACCAACTGCCACTGCCACAGCTGTGACCTCTATTTTCCTGCAAAGACAGGGGACATCGGAGGACAGTGGCCCCACCCCACATCTCCCCTTCCTCAAGGGTTCCTGTGGCTTCACATTTCAGTCTCTCAGACAACAGTGCTCACCTGTTCTCAATACCAGGGATGCCACACAAGAGCTTTGACTGCCCCTGAAAACATGTGAGGGAAGGAAAGCAAAGCAGAAGGACTCAGTAGCTTTCTGGGGTTTTTTAACTTTGTTTTTGTTTTTTTGTTGTTTTTTTTTTTGGTACTGGGGATTGAACTTGGGTCCTTGCGCTTGCGCAGCAGGTGGCGAAAACACTGAGCTAAATCCCCGGCCCTGGGGTTTTTTAACTTTTAAAAAAATTATGGTAAATTGGATATGCTGCACTCCTGTAATTCCAGCACTCTGGGAGGATGGCGAGTTTAAGCCTGGCCTGGGCAACTTAACAAGACCCTGTCTCAAAAAAAAAGAGAGGGGTGGGCAGACTTGAGGATGAGTTCAGTGAAAAGGCTCTGGGTTCAATCTCCAGTACTGCAAAAAAAAAAAAAAAAGTGGTTAAAAAAAACTTGTTTCTCTATCTAAATACAAATATATAAATAGATACTCTCTTTTCACAAAAGGTTAAGATGGGATACAAACCAGTTGACATTTTCTGTGTGTGTGTGTGCTTTGTTTCTTGAAAGAGGATCTTGGGCCGGGGATTTAGCTCAGTGGTTCCACTGCCTGCCACACAAGTGCAAGGTCCCAAGTTCAATCCCCAGTACCAAAACAAAACAAAAAAAAGAATTGAAAGAGGGTCTGCCTATAGAGTCCAGGTTGGCCTAGTTTTTGTTTATATTTGCTTACTTGTTTGTTTCGTTGTACTGGGGATTGAACCCAGGGCCCTTGCACTGAGCTACATCCCCAGTCACTTTTTATTTTTTATTTTGAAACAAGATTTCATTAAAGTCATTAAGTTGCCTGGGATATGGGCTCAAGCTTTCAATCCTTCTGCCTCATACTCCCAGAGTGCAGGGGTTATAGGTATGCACCACCATGCCCGGCTCCTCTCTTCTTTATTGCCTTCTTTTCTCCCTTCCTTCTTTCCTTCTTATGTGTGTGTGTGTGTGTGTGTGTGTGTGTGT